CCAAGTGATTTATCACCCTCCAAACCTCCTCTCTCTCTCTCTCTCTCTCTCTCTCTCTCTCCTCTTCTTCATGTCTATATGCAGAACATCTCCTCCAAACCTTCAAGAACTTAATTCTCTAGACTTCAAAAATAAAAAAAGAACTTAATTCTCTAACTGTTTTTTGTTTTTCTTTTTTCACATTTCAAGCGACATAATTAAGGGATGCTTAGAAGTATGTATAGTAAGTTTTGCTTTTTAAAACAAAAAACGACTACTGCATTATAAAAAACAATGTGATTTTGATGATATCCATCAATAGTTGAGTTAATGGCATGCAAATTTTGGCCTTTTTTTATTTTATAGTCAAAATGCTCCTAAACTTATTATTATTATTATTATTTGATATGCAAACTTTGGCTGTGTTTGGTAGCAAGAAAAATGTCTGTTGAAAACAAAACATTTTTTTTCAAAAAGTGAGCACTAAGGTTGTGCTTTGATAAGTTTCACCCAAAAGCATAAAGCCACAATTTTAGGCTTTGTTGTGTGGGACTTAAGTTTAAGATTATGATGTTTTTAAAAGTTAACTCTTACCAAATGTTCAGAACACTTTTTAGATCAATTTTGTTTTTCACAACCCGAAGCATAAAACCAAAACCTTATGGCTCAGTTTGGAAGGAGACAAAGGAATACAAATATAAATATGTAAAGTACAAAATCTTGAACTTTGTATTATTTTTTTTTATGTATTTGTAGTGTACATATTTATATTTGTACTCGTTCCAAACCGAGCCTATGCAAATAGAACCTAATTTTAGGAAAATGACATTCATTGTGATGCCTCATAAATTAGAAAATCATATGTCAGTCCTCTTGATGATTCTCATTCCTGACAACGCTTGCGTGTATTCGTCAACCATTCCGGATATTTTCCAATTTATGAAACATTGGAAAGTTAGTAATATGACTTCTTTTGTATTGAATTTAATTTTTCAAAGAACACTATTTTTTTCCCTTCATTTATGTGCAACCAAATGGAGAGTAAGGAACCATTTGATAATAGATGAAAATGCTGAATTGAAAAACGTACTGCTTTGTCTTTTAATGACCAAGTTTTTAAGGAGGTTGTAGGCTCTTTAATAGTTGAAACTAGGGGTGGATGAGCCGGGCCGAGTCGAATAGTACAAGCTTGAGCTTGAGCTTGAGCTTGGCTCGCCAAGGTAGGATACAGCTCGAGCTCGAGTTCGAGCTCAATTCGGATTAGAACCTTGAGCTCAAGCTCGTTTGAGTCAAAAACTCGTAAGTTCGAGCTCAATTTGAGAAAAAATGTTTTATAAAAATAAAAAAAGTATATATAATATTTTTATTTGATATTTAAAAAATTAATAATTATAATATTTTTATTATATATATATATATCATTTTCTATAATTTTATATATATATATAACTTGACTCGTTTATTAATCAAGCTTGTAAATTGGGCTCGAACTCGATTCAAAGCTCGATCGGAACCGAACCGAGCTCGAATAGCTTGTGAAGAATTCAGCTCGTGGCCACCCCTAGCTGAAACTGAAATTAGATTACTATACCCTTGAAAAATTTATCATTTAATTATTTTAACAACTCAAAGACAAAGCAATAAATTTTTAGGTTCAATAACTTTAGCCGTGATCAAACAGCCCCTAAGTGTTTGCTGAACCTAGCATCTTGATTTGCTTCATTTAAATGTAAAGAGAAATAGAAAGGAAACAATCATATTTTTTCATGTTGACAGATAATGTGTCATTTGCAACTGATCTGATCCTTCTTTGCTTATGTGGAGCTCAAGAATGGCAGGTCTGCCTATGGAATACAAGGCACCACTAGGGGTGCAAGTCAAGCCAGGTTTAAGTCGAATTGGCGACAATCTTAACCAAACCCAAGCTGAGCTGTTGAATCCCCAAAGCTAACCCAAACGGCCAAACCCAGCCTAAAGTTTTTGGGTTGGTATAACTTTTCTACTTCCTTTAGCCAAGTGTTATTATTTACTAGACTAAAGGGTTGAGACCACTTAGGCTGTGATTGGTTGTAGTGCAGTTTTATTTGCACTAGTACAAATGCAAGGGAGTGCAAATAAAAAAAAAATGCAAATTCTTGTTTAAATTTGTTTTGGGTTTTCTTTATTCTGCTTCGTATCTCAATTTGCTTCATTTGTACTACAGTCAAACAAAATAAGCTAAAATTTGAAGCAAAAATAGATCAGAATTTACACTCAAATCATTTGCACTACCATGTTTTTGCATCCATACAAATTTATTTGCATTGCAACCAAACATAGCCTTAAGTTTTTATTTTTTATTTGTATTTTACTTTTTTTGTGGGGTTACGCAATGATGGGATAACCCATTCCTTTAATCCTGGTGGCAGTAATATTTGATTCCAGATCTCTACTACAACAAATCAGAAATCTTACCAATTGACATTATTATATATACATGAATATAATTATCATGCTTTAGAAAATATTTGCCTTTTAAACTAAAACTAGAGAAGGACCCCCTTACTAAGTATGGGGTAACTAAATGTGTGTATAATTTACCTATTTTATTTGAATCTCTTTTAATTTATATTTTTTAAAGTTTAATTTAAGATATTAAATGAGATCTTATTGGTAAACAATAACTCACTTTATTTAGTATTTACTATTTATCTAATAAATCTATTTTGAGTTATTTATTTTTAAAAGTTAAATTAGGTTGCTTCCTAAATGGTAAATCAAGTTTGTAATTAACAAAGTATTTTCTTTTTGAAAAAAAAATCATTAAAAACAAATATGGGTTTATGATAATATTTTAATGGATCCCACCATTTGTATTTAATAGGCTATGGATAAACATGTGTTAAGCTAATAAATAATTGTGTATTAGGAATGCTTAGGACTAAAACTACCTATTTTTTTAATTCTTTTATTGAATTAATAGGATGCCACGTGTCTAAATGGTGGTAGTGGATTGTGGGTTTTAGCAACAACTTCTCAGAAAATGCCACGTGTTTAGCTTTCTAGAAAAATGAGAAGGCCACATGTCTGAATGGTGGGGGGTTGTAGCTTGGTAGTGGGCTGTAGGTTTTAGTAGGAATTTCTCAGAAATTGCCACGTGTTTAGCTTTCTAGAAAATGATAAAACCACTTGTCTAAATGATGGTAGTGGGTAGTGGGCTTTAACATTAACTTCCCAGAAAATGCCACGTGTTTAGGTTTCCAAAAAAAAAAAAAATTGAGAAGGCCATGTGTATGAATGGTGGGGACTGTAGGGTGAACAACTTCCTTTAATATATATATATTAGTTTTGTTGAGATAGATATATCATACATGCATACATGGGTTTATTGATATTTGATGCATAGTTGCATATCTATACATAGATGTATTTGTACATTGGGTTAGATTGACCAAGGCCTCAACTTTAACCTAACTAAAGTTAAATTAGATTCATACTTTTTGACCCTAACCCTAACTTGAACTTTAGCTCAATCCAATGTTTCTTTTCTCCTCTTTGTTTCCCCTATGTTTGCTTTCTTGCATTGGGTTTTCTACACATTAAACAAGAACCCTAAGGCCATGTTTGGTTTGCTATTTTGGGCCTTATTCTTTTAATTATTGTTTATTCTAAGCAAGAATGTGTAAGAATGAATAACATTAGAGTGTTTGGTTACAAATTGTCAGGAGCCTAATTCTTTTCAGAATGAAAAGTAGTCTTTGGCATAAAAATTAAAGTAGCCTGCAGCATGAAAAATAATCATGCCCCATCTTGCTCATTTTCATTCTCTAAAGTCACTCTATGCTTGTATTCATAAACAATTGACCAAGGTTGAAAATATCGATACGCATCGACCCATATCGACCCATATCGATTGATACGTATTATGTAGTAGCTTCCTGATATGCCCCTATAAAGGTTGTATCGGTAAGACCATGGTTTAGAGAGCAATTGAAACTTAAACTAACCCCTTTGAAATGGTTTTGAAAAAAAATAAAATAAAATATAAAAAAAGTACTGATACATGCCGATACGCCCTATCAACATATTGGCTTATGTTAATACTTTGAACCATGCCACTGACCGAGGTTACAAAATCATTGCCATAGATGTTTATTGGAGGATTGTCGTAGACAGTTACACCAACAGACATTGATTATTGGCCATCTGGAAATAAACATATGTGCCAATAGTTTTGAAGAATTTGGCTGATAATATATGACCACTAAACAACATAATGCACTTCCTGTCTAAAAAGAATTTTTTGTTTAGTAAAAAAATATTTGATTTATAATAATATTTTCTCTCTGTCCATCTTTACTCATTCTTATTCATTTTCAAATTTCATATTGATAAGAATGAAAAAAAAATGAAAATTGAACAAAAATGGCCAAAATTGAATAACTTGCTTCCCAATCTTAGCTTGCATTACAAACATCAAAAGCACCCACATAATTAGGGTTTCGAGAATCCATCATAAAACGGGTCCCACCTACCACCATTTCACAGCTCTCATTTCTATAGACCCCCTTTTGATCATCCAAAATAATTAGTATACCCATACTCCAATCATATGATCTTGGACCCTCGACAACTGCAGACCTTATCCTACAATCACTCGCATAGAAATAAAAGCTGTGGACTGTGGAGCCTCTCTATCCATTCAATCATTCCCTCCAGGTAAAAAGATTCTAATCCTGCGGTCACAGCCGGAGCCTTCCCAATCGAGGGCAAAGTAAAGCAAAAAGGATGATAGATGATAATGAATTGAAATGACGGAAAAGGACCACACGAGGAGAATCGCACATATTCCTTTGGCTAGGGTATTCCGGACATTGTACGATGGATGAGACTGTTAGCGAACCCTAAAAAGTAAAAAGCTTGGCTGACCAAACATCAATAGACCTCTTTAACCATAGTCAGGTCAACATCTGCGTCCACTGATCTTCATCTTGTGCTTTCAGTAGTTTTAGAGAAAGGAGAGAGGAGAGAGGAGAGAGGAGAGTATTTAATAGATCAGAGGAGAGAGAAGCAAAGAGAAGGTTTGCTTTTGCTTATATGGACGGTAACTTATAAAAAATGAGAAGCGAAATGATATCGTGTCTCTCTTCTCCATTTTTCAAGTAAGTAAGATAAAAGGAGAACGGGTCCTTCTGCTTGTTTTCTTTCTTATGAAAGCTCTCTGTTAAAAGTTCTGAGATCTCTCACGAGTCTCACGAGTCTGAATTTGAATGGAAAACAACACAAAACCCATCTCTTAGAGGTTTGGTGAGGTCTCCATTTCTTGTTTCTTTCTGGGTGTTACTTCCACCGAACAAAGCTCTCTCTCTCTCTTTCTTTCCCTCTCCTTCTCTCTCTGTTGCATAAACTCAGAAGAGAATTTGAATTGGTATTATCTTTGGTTTTCTGTTTTTGGGTTTTGTTCAGTTTTGATCCATGCAGCCTTGCAGTGGAGAAATGCAAGGAATGGATTCCATACCTCAAATGGGTCTGCAAGAGCTTCAAAATGGTCAGCATCAGATGCCGAATCAGCACCACATTCATCAGGGTTCCCACTTTGATCACTCGTCTCACGATGATTTTCTTGAGCAAATGCTCTCTAATCTCCCTTGGACCGAAAACCTCTCAGGAAACCCTAAATCTCCCTGGGACCTTAACCCTCAAAACCCTAACGGCAACCCCACGCCCAACAACAACACCGCGACCAGCGCCACCGCTACCAATCAGAAGCTCTTTAATATCCCAATCGCTACTTCCAACGGCAAACCCGGAGATTTATCCGATGACCAGCAGACATCATCGCAGCCGGAAAACCTTCAGTACGGTTTCGACGATTCCACGCTGCTCGCCTCACGGCTTCGTCAGAACCAGATAAGCGGGAATTCACTAGCAGCCAAAACGCTGGCCCTTCAGCAGCAGCTACTTCTTTCGAGAGGCGGCGTTGGAATGGCGATATCACCGTCGTCTGTTCCCGGCACTAGTTCTCAGGGCGGCGAGTCGGGGCTTCGCCCACTTCCTCTAAGTCTGGCCAGCGCTGATTCCTCGGATTCTAGGCTCCTCGTCGATCGGTCCCGGGATGGTGTCGTCGATGCTTCCTTTAAATCTCCAAGCCCGGTGAGTCCCTTACTCGAAAAAAGAGAAAGCTAATTATTTTTTTCGTTTTCTTAATTTTTTTCTTTATTTGAATCCGTAGAACGGAGAAGCTTCAGTTCAAGGGTTGTACAACGGTTTCGCCGGATCTCTGTCTCGCACTGCTCAGACAGCAGACCAGCAGCATTTTCACAATCCACAAGTGGGTACTCATTTGCTCAATTATTTAATGAATTCTAGTTTCTGGGGTTGTATTTGTGCTTCCTTACTTTTTTATTATTCTAGGTTGCGACGATGCCAGCACAGAATTTCAGTGCACCGGCGACGACAGGGATCAACCAGGCGGCACTAGCGGCGGGGGCAGCAGGAGGAGTTGGTGCCGCTCCCCAGAGGCAGCAGAGGGTGAGGGCCAGGAGAGGGCAGGCCACCGATCCACACAGCATCGCTGAAAGAGTAAGCTAAGCGATTCCCTCTGAAAAAAAATAAAGAAATGGGAATGGAGATTTGTCTTCTGTTCGTTTCTTCTGAAACTTGGCGTGGGATTATCTCTTGTTTCAGTTGCGGAGGGAGAGAATCGCAGAAAGAATGAAAGCTCTGCAGGAACTTGTGCCCAATGCAAACAAGGTTATTTGTGTTTCTCCGCTTCCTATGCATAAAATACCTAATTTTCCAGATTCCTTTTCTATAATAACTGGTCATAAATGCCATTCTTGGTGGGTATTTTCGTCATCCCACCTATTTTCTCAATAAAAAAAAATCCAGAGATTTTCCCGCCGATGAAGTATGATTTCTGGAAGAAACTAGGGAATGTATTAATTTCCGACATACTGACCATAATATCCTTAGGGAATGGGAACATTTATGTCACTGGTCGGGGTAGATTAAAGGGGACCCGAGTCACGCAACGCAACCTATGATCTCCCAGGTCAAGAAGGGCATACCTGTCAATTTGGCTGTGTGGATGTAAGGGTATTCTGGTCATTGTGGTAAGAGATAAAACTAAAAAGTGAGAGAGTGAGAGACGGCCGGAAAAAAGAGAGCGTCATCTTTTTCTGTGCGTACTTGAAGGCAAAAAGACGTCTCTATCTTTCGAAGCATGCTTGTACAATTGTTGAAACTGCCCAGGGATGTATTTGTCTTTTCACTATTCTTAACTCTGCCCATTCTTTCTTACTTTCTTTGTTTTTCCCCGAGTGACAGACTGACAAAGCATCGATGCTGGACGAGATCATCGATTACGTGAAATTCCTCCAGCTTCAAGTCAAGGTAATACAGGGAAAAGATATATATATATATATATATATATATATATATATATATATATATTTGTATATATTCATTAATGATTTTTTTGGTTCCATTAAGTTCCCCTTTCTCAAAGCAGAAGAAAAGATTCTCTCTGACAGCTTTATGGGTTTTCTCTGATTCTGGGCCTCTCTCTCTCTGCCCGCTTTGCTGTATTCCTTTTTTGAGAGTTGCAGGTTCTGAGCATGAGCAGATTGGGCGGTGCAGCAGCGGTTGCTCCTCTCGTGGCCGATATTTCCTCCGATGTAAGTTTTCCAACTTTTTTTTTTTCCTTCCATTTTCCATCCCCTTCAAGAAAACGCTTGGCGTTGCTTGGAAGATTTCTCTATGCTTTTCGGAAAAAAAAGGGGAAATTCGGGGCCGGGGGTCCCACCTCGGAATTCTCAATCCACAAAACAACAAATGAAAAAGCAACGCGCGTGCGTGCACGATTTTCGTATTCCGAAAATGCCCAAATCCTCGAAACGGAAGTCGGAAGTTACTACTGCGAAGAGAAAACCTTCTCTTTTGTCCTTCTCTCTGTTCTACTCTTTTCAGTGTTTGTTGTGTTGTAGGGAGGAGGGGACTGCGTACAGGCGAGTGGTGGGCGGAGTGCAAACGGCGCTCAGACGGCGTCGTCGAACGATAGCTTAACGGCGACGGAGCAGCAAGTGGCGAAGCTGATGGAGGAGGACATGGGTTCGGCGATGCAGTACTTGCAGGGGAAGGGTCTGTGCCTCATGCCCATTTCTCTCGCCACCGCCATATCAACTGCCACCACGTGTCATTCCAGGAACCCGAACCACACCCACCACCGCCTCGTTTCCCCTAACGTCGACGTTCCTCAGTCGCCGAGCATGTCCGTGCTGACCGTACAGTCGGTGACGATGGGAAACGGCGGGGGAGAGGCTTCCGTCAAGGACGCTACATCGATTTCGAAGCCGTGAGGGGAACTGGGAAAACAAAAGCGATGGAGGGCAGACTTGTTTGGACTAGAGAGTTAGAAGAAATCCGAGGGAGAGAAGATAGAAAAAAGGAAAGAAATTGAAATTCAACGGGCGTCAAGTCTACGGAAGCAGGTTGTTCTCTGGTGTTTGACTGGGCAGAAAAAAAAAAGGCTTAACTACAGCAACTATACATACCTTAGTCCTTTTATTTATTTATTTTTAATTTTCTTTTATAATGTTTAGGTTCTTTTGTTTTTTGTTTTTGTAAACTTATATCCTTAATTTATAAAATATGTGGTTTCCGTCCGAAAATTACTGTATTACTGAAAGGTGGTGTTTGTGAAATGTTAAAATTAATTAGGATGATAATTACGAATAAGAGAATATGGTCACCGAAGTTGATTTTTGTATTTGCAAAATGAGTCCGGATTGCAAGAAAAATAAGCCTTTATCATCAACCATATATAAAGGGGATTAAAACAACTGAAAACTTGCAATTAGAAAAGGAGAAAAATAAAAAAAGAGGAGTCCCCATTCATCTAACTAATTAGAAGATGGATAATCAATTACGGAAAAGAGGGAAACTGTATGAAACGATGGTTTATACCTTAGTAACCGAAGCGGTAGAAGACTGAAACATGGATGTCGATCCCATAGTGGGCCTTTGTTTGGGGTTGGAAGGAGAAATCCGAGTTTTTGTCTTCCTGTTTGACACTTTTGCTGGTAGTTGACTGGATTATTTCTTCAGTTGAATGCTTGAGAGGGAAGTGTTCCAGTTGTAGGAGATGGTAGAATGAAAGGATGATGGATATCTGATTTCTTATTCATTCTATCGTATTGTGTATTTAAACATATACAAAAGTTATGATAAAAAGGGAAAAACTAACAAATATATACTGCAGAGTTCAGGGTTTATCTCAAACCCTTGAACAGCCATAGACTAGGTGGCTAACACCCCCCTCAAGTTGAAGGTGGGGAAACACATCAATTTGCCACGTAGAAGAGAGAATATAGGTCCAGGCAAAGGTTTTGTAAGAATGGCCTAGGGGTGTCAACGGTATTCGAAAATTCAATTTTGAATTTGGTATTCGACATAAGCGAATCGAATTCGGATAATTTGAATATTTAATCGGTTGAATTCGGATATTCTATTTTTATCGAATAGTTGATTGGATTCGAATTCGAATATGACCTGATTCGATTCAATAAATATCTGAATTTGATCGATTATTTCATTCTTATATATAATATATAAAATATTTTATATAATTTATATATAATAATTAAGTTATATAAACAATTTATATATTTATATACTTTATATCAATAAGATATTTAATTTATATATTTATTAAATATCTAAAATAATTAATTAATCAAATTTGAATCGAATCCGATATTCGAATATTTAATCAGATTCAAATTCAGATATTAATTTTTAATATTCATCGGATATTGAATCAAATTCAGATATTGGATTTTCTAACCGGATTCGAATTCGATTCGAATTCAACCATTTACACCCCCAATCAACACTGCTAATAAAATGAACTCAGAGAAGCTTGTGAGTGACTAATTCACGAACGAAGTAGAAATCTATCTCGATGTGCTTTGTATGTGCATGAAACACTGGGTTAGTAGTAAGGTAGGTCACACCAACATTGTCACACCATAAGATATGAGAATGAGTGCCGTGAATGTTGAGTTTAGTGAAGAGAGAAGGAAGCCAAATCAGTTCAGAGGAAGCTACAGTACTTGATGATTTGGAGACAATGGATTGTTTCTTGGATCCCCAATGGAATCGACAGCCATCAGGACACCCCACCTAGTCCACATATGAGAATGAGAATGCATGAAGTTGCAGTGAAGGAGATTTGGTAAATGTCAGACCATAGTCTTGGTTGTTATTATATATATATATATATAGTAATTAAGCACGTGCAATTGCATGTGAAATTTTTTTCTTCATATTAATTACTTGAAATTTATATATATTATACTTAAGATAGAAATTAAAGATTTACAAAAGTAACAATATGATTAAAAATAAACTTAAATGTTTGTAGTAAATGTGCACGTGCATTGCATGTGGAAGTTTTAAGTTATAATAATAAATTATTATTGTTATTATAATTAAATTTTGTATTCCATTTCTTTCATAAATAAAAATATTTTTTTATTTGATAATTATTTTTATTTAATATGATGAATATATAACATTAGAAATGTTCCCAAATGTTTTCGACAAAATTCTGTATTTTTTATTTTTTGTGTTTCATATTTTTCTAAATATTTTTTATTCAATTATGACTTCATGAGTCTTTTGAAAAGTTGGATCATTGACCTACACCTAGATAAGAAAATAGCTTCCCTTTTGAATCAATTTTAAATTATATATTTCATCTACATTATATAAATAATTTTTACTTATATATTATTTTGATTATTTTTACTTTTTTAATGATTTAGTATTTAACCATCATATCATTGATTAATCCGTTTGACCCAAACCACTAACTCACCACTCAAAAAGGACAATATTTTGATTTCTAGGCTGACATTAAATTTTGTATTACATTTTCATCATTGATAAAATTATTTCTTATGTATAAAACTTATTTTTGGTCAATATAATGAATTTATAATATTAGAGATTTACCTAATATTTTATTTAATGAATATATAGCATTAAATATGTGTCCAAAATTTTCTCTATTTTTTTTTATTTTTGTGCTTCTTTGTAGTTTCTATTTTTAAAATTTATTATTGGACTATGACATCATTTCTGGTTTGATTTTAAATTTGGCATTCCATTTTCATGGTTAATAAAAATACTTCTTACATTACATACTTATTGTTTTTTAGTATAATGAGTATAATATTAGAGATAACCCAATTCTTTTTTTTTTGTATTATATATTTTATTTATTTTAATTTTTATTATTTAATTATGGTATTTTTTATCAACCCATTTGACCCCAAATGGTTGAATTGCTTACCTAGGGAGGGAAGAAAATGGTTTTGTTTTTAAAGTACTTTTCAAAATATTTATTTTTATATTATTAAAATTAATTTTATGGATATACCTTAGATATAAGATTTAATGAGAAAGAATAAGAAAATAGTTCTATTTCCAATTGGTTTTAATTTTATATTCCACTTTCATCATTAATAAAAACATTTCTTATTTATCATACTTATTATAGTGATGAGAAAAATATATCTTAAATATAGGATTTAATGAAAGAATATACCTTAGATATAAGATTTAATGAGAAAGAATAAGAAAATAGTTTTATTTCCAATTGGTTTTAATTTTATATTCCATTTTCATCATTAATAAAAACATTTCTTATTTATCATACTTATTATAGTTTAACATGTCAAACATACGATGTTAAAAATGTTTCCAACATGTTTTAATTTTGAATTTTATTATTTAATTGTTACAACATGGATTGACTCATTTGGCACAAAATGTTTTAATTTTTTACCACCACCTAGATGAAAACACAATTTTTTTTTCTAGGTAGATTTTGAAAGTATAAGTTTTTATGTTATTAGAATTATTAATTTATTATGTATGGATTTAATTAATAGAATTTAATGATGAGAAGAAACAAAAATGTTTTAAAAATATGATTTAATGAAGGTGAATGCAAGTTAATATCTTAAATGTTGAATTTCATGAGAGGGAATTGAATGCATTTAATATCATAAAATTACCTCTTTTTAACTCATTTAATATCAATAGCCAATTACCCTATTTACCCTCATTTTTTATCAATAAATTTAAATATGGAGAGGTAAATTTTGCCCTAAAAAAATTTCAGAAATATTCTAAAGGCTATTCATCCTTTTTAAAATAGTATTATACACACACACACAAACACACTAGTGGGGACTCGTGCGATGCATGAGATTTGTTAAGCGAAAGATAAATAATAGAAAGGGTCATTTACTAGAATACCAATTTTGCCCTTAATAAGACACGGACAATCACTCTATTGGCTATATATGGCCAAATTTGTTTTCTATATAAAAAAAGTGTTAAGGGTATTTTTGGAATAAAAAATTATAGGCCTAATGGCAAAACAAACACTCCTTAAGAAAAAGTTGATTAAGTAAATAAGTTGTAAAATATATGGGATGTTTTAGTAAAATGAAAACTATAAGGTGTGTTCTAGTAAATGACCCTAATAACACATAAGAGTATACAATTGTTTTATATTTTCAACTTTTTAAATAATTAATAATTATTCATATTTTATATACTACTCGTAATAGATTTTTTATAATACAAAAATAACAATAATTAATTTCAATTAGGTTTCTTCATCAAACTTATGAAACCGACCAATTCGATCAAATCGACCCGAGTTGGTGGGTTTTCAAGTATTTTATGTTGGATTTGGTTCAGAATAGTCCAAATTCGACCAAGTTGGATTAGTTTCACTTTGGCTATTTGTAAACCTACCAAAATCGAACGACCTAACCATGGATATATATTAGTATTTTATATTTTAAATATGAAAAAGTGAGAAATTTTCCATATTTCTTAGTCTAAAATGTTTTATTTCATGAATATATTTTTTAATTGTTGCACTGTAATTTTTAAAATTAAATTAAATTTTAAGTTTAAATCTTTTGAATCGACTAACCTTTTGTGAAAACCAATCCAAACTAATACAACTTAAGTTGGTCGGTTTTCACAAAAGGTCAGTCGGTTTCAGCTAACCAACTCCCCAATCTGACCAAGTCAATTTGGTTGGCCAAATAGCCTACGGCCAGGTTGAATCAACTAATGAACCCTCATAGTTTTAGCTAAATTAATAGTCTTATCTCCGATAAATAACAATAGTTTAATCTCCAATAATTATTGAAAATTTATAGAAAAAATACATAATTATTGAAAATATATTGATAATGAAAAATACAATAATTACAAAATTACAATAAACTAAAAATATATTAGCTTAGTCAATAAATTGTATAATCTCAAATAATAATTTAATCTTTAATAAATATTAATTAATCAATAAGTTATAACAAAAATACAATAAATACAATAAGTACAATATATTAAATTTAAAAAATTCAATAATAGTAGTTTAATGTCCAATAATTATTGAAAATTTTTTGTTAAATAACAAAAAAAATTATGGATGA